CCCTATGAGAGCCAGTGGCCTGTGCCTCTGGTCCTGCCTGCAGGGTGTTCTCCAGCGTGTTCTCAGGGCCTACACCCTTTCCTTGGACCCCTCACTCTCTCTGGGAAGGCCCCTGCCTCCCCCACCTTCTCTGTCCCTCCGAGACAACTCAACAGTAGGGACAGCCTGGATGCTTCTCCACCACCTCCCACTCAGCAGGGCAGGAGGCCTGAGATGCAGGGGTAGATCAGCCCCTAGTGGGGCTCATGTGAAGCTGTGGGAAAGGGCCAGCCCACAAGGCCTACTCTGAGGAAGCTCTCCCTTCTCTGATCTCTGGCAGTAGCTCCAGAAGCTGGCAGTCCTCCAAGAAGGGAGGCAGAAGGCTCGGAAGCCTCACGCCCTGATGCTGAGGCCAGAGGGCAGCATAGGGCAGGCACCTAGGCCACTGGAGAGCAGGGCTGACCTGTGCCTCCTGGGCACTGACATAGGTGCTGACGTCCCCGTGTCCCACCAGCCCGCTGCTCCCAGAGGCTTTGCTAAGCCCTGGGGTGGCTCGGCAGTATGGAAAAGCTGTTTCCCTGGGGAAATAAAGCCAGCTTTGGGGACCAGGGGCCTGGACAGGGATGGAATGGGATCTGTCTAGACTCTAAGAGCCAGCAAAGGCGTTTGGAGGAAATCAGGCTGGGTATGAAAGGAAAGGTTCTGGCACGCTGGGGTGCCTAAGCCAAGGAGACTTCTAGAAGGGTGGGTAGTGAACAGTAGTGAACCCCTAGACCCTGGCAGAGAGTAAGGGGAGTGAGAGAGGACAGCATTACAAAGGTCTCAGAGAACCACCTCTCCCAGGGAACCCGTGGGCAGATGGGGCATGGAGAGCCACAAGGGGATGTCCCCATGACCTGGAAGCAGGGGCACCCAAGAAGCCCAGGGGCAAAGGGGATAAAGGGGCCAGAGCCACCTCTGATGGCCTGGGCGGGGGTGGGGGATGTGCCTTACTCCCACTGACTTGAGTTGTCTTTTTCTCCCCACCCTACCACATCCCACCCAGTGACCCCAGAAATGCAGGGCATTGGTAACAATGACAACATAGCATAGTCTCCTTCCCTGCTCCTTCGCCCTCCTTTTTCTTTTTCCTCCTCCTCCTCTTCCCCCTAACCCCTTCCCCATCGGCTTGTGTCCAGACCCTGCCTCACAGTCCTATCAGAAGGAACAGTCCAACCAGTGACTGCCCAGCCCCTCCAAGCACCCCAAGTGCCCCCTCCCCAGAATCTTGCAGTGCATTATGGGAGTATTTGGGAGCAGGGACAATCCCTCTTCTATACAAATAAAGCCCTGGGAGCAAAAGAGAGCTCAGAAGTGGAGACAGGCTAAGAAGGTGGACCACCCACAGTGAGGCCAAGAGCAGAGGGACCCCTCCCAGGTGCAGACCAGCAAGGTGGCCAGTCCAGCTGGGCAGAGAAAGGCCATAGAGGAGCCCCAGTGGCCACATCCTTAGGTTCACTCTCAAACCCATACAGAGATAGTCACACAGGCACACACACACACACTCAGTGCATGCATGCTCACTCACACACACATGCACAGCTCATAAGCCCAGGGCACAGGCCCAATTGGGGATGCCTCAACAGCAGCCCTATGCCGTCTCTGGAGCCCTAGCAGCCCCCATGGCTGCCTGGAGCCCAGACAAGTTTTAGTAAGGATGGAGACCCAGCCCGTCTCCACACCCTCAGCCAAGGGAAGCAGGTACACAGGTTCCAGCAGCACTCCTTCCAACGCCCTAGACTTTCTTCACACACTGTGGGAACAGTCCCTGGCACTTTGAGGGTCTCCCTTCACCTCCTGGCCCAGGGAGGACCACCAGCCCCCCCCCCCCCACAATGCACTGCAGCATACCCTCAGCTGTCCCCGCCTGTCTCTGGTTGGACTGTTTGTGCCCGTGAGAAACCCCCTCGGTTTGGCCATGTTGATGCCTGACACAGAACAAAAGCAAGACCTACCAAAACGCAAACAGCTGCAGCAAAGAAAGAGAGATAAAAATCCGCAGCCAAAAGCCAATTCCCTTCCTCAAAGCCTCTTTGGAGGCGAAGGAAGCTCAGCATGCGGTTTTTTCCATTATGGATGTGATAAGAGCGAGACTGGCGCCTCCCCCAGACCATGCATATATATAGCAGTGTGTGTATATATATGTGTGTGTGTGTGTCTGTGTATATGTGCTATACAGCCGTATGGAAGCATATACAGCCACGCCAAGGGACTCACTGCCAACAGAGGACCAGGCCCGGGCAACATATTGGCTATAACTGCCCTCCTCCTGCGATGCTGTAGTCTCCACAGGCCCTCTACCCTCCCTGCCCGTCCCTTCTCTTTGGCTCCTGGACATGGAAATGGCGGGTTTCCTCTTTGCTGGTGTCTCCCCCTCCCTCCAGCCCCCCTCTCCCCTGTCCTTCCAGCCCCGTCAGCTCTGAGCCCCCTGGCCTCCCACCTCCCCAACCCCCGCCGGATAACCCCCCGTTTCTGTTGCAGATTTTGAGTTCCTGCTCCCCAGCAGCTTTGAGTCTGAAGGACATGTTTTCATTGCTCCCAGGTAGCTTGCGTGTGGCCTTGCTGAGGTGTCCTCCCCTACCCTGAGCGCCCCGGCCCCACCCCCTGCACTGCTGCCTGGAGCTCTGTGTGACTGTATTCTGTGCAGTGTCATCCCCCGGCCCCCATACATTGCCCGGTATGCACGGCTGTGTGCATACCCAGGCCATGTACCGCACCAGGCAGCAGTGGCTGGCGGCCTCACAGCCCTAGCTCCCACCAGGCCGGGACAGGAAGTCTCCAGACTCATCTGCTGACTTTCTCTGCCCTCCCAGGCAACCAGGCAGGAGCCCTTCCGGCCCCGGGGTGGCTGTCTGTGGCATGCCCACCCCTTGCCAGGCAACTGCTGCTCTGGTTTGTGGTGTCCTGCCCATCCCCCCAACCCCACACCCCATCGTTGTCCTGTGTCAGTCGGTGTTCATGTGGGTCTGGGGGCTGAGCCAGCCAGAGCCCCTGTCGGCAGCGCCAGGTCTAGAAGTGGTACTTCACTTGGGGGATGGGGGGAGGAGGGCAGGGGCTTTAAGGAGCTGCTCCAGCAGATGAGGAGTCGGGGCCCAGAGCAGGCCCAGGCCTGGACCATCCAGGAGTGCATGCTCAATGTGTACATACACGTTCTCATGCACACACCCTCTGCCTTTGGCCCACATCTGGGGAGGCCGGGTCCCCTGGGTGCTGAAGCCCTTCCATGACTCAGGCTTGGGATGAGGGCAGGTGGGTGGATGCAGCTGATAGAGACCCCAGGGTCACTGGAAGGCAGCACACAGGGGCTCTGGACATGCCTCACCTTTGTGTGTGCACGTTATGTGCATGCACCCAGTTTCTCTGTGATTCTTTGTAGATGTGTGTATTTGTGAGTCACCATGTACGTATGTAAGAGTCTAAGCATAAATGTGGGGGTGGCTCTGTGTGTTAGTGAATGTGGGAAGGTGTGAAAAAGCCTGTGTGGCCCACGTGACCCCGAGAAAGCTCTCTTGAGGGCAAGGACCCTATTTGTTTTTGCCATTTCTGTGTCTGTGGCTCAGGAGAGCTCAATAAATATGTGGAGGGTGAGTGAATGAAGTACCCCACAAATGTGAATGTGCATACTGTGTGTACAGGAGAGTCTGCAAGTGACTTGGTGTATCTCAAGCACAGTCGTGTGGGTGTCACCCTGGGTGTGTCCAGTGTGGCCTCTAGGCATAGAGGTGCAGGCTGTACACTGCACAAAGGCCCTGGGGGCCAAGGAGTGAGTGGGGCCTGAGACCCAGTTCCACATGCCCTTACCAAGCCACGAGCCCTACCACAACCTGGGAAAGTGGCACATGTTCAAAAACCCCACAGTTAGTGCCATATAGGACAATGAAGCGGTCCCTGGTGGCAGAGGTATGAATGAGGGGTCGGGCAAGAGAGAGAGCTCCACCTATCAGAGTAGAAGGATTGCTCCCAAGACTTCCTAGGCAGCAAGCCCAAGCAGACCGCCCTCACGCCCCACAGCCCCATGTTCTCTGGACCCAGAGCCTGAACGCAGTGAGGGTCTTGAGGGGAGGGGCATTCCAGGCAGAGGGAACAGCCAGTCCGAGGACCCACATGTTCCCACTGACTTCCTGACACCCTCTGTGCTATGATGAAAAAAGCGAGTATCAGAGAGCATGAGTGAGTTACCTAAAGGCACATAGCCAGGAAGAGGCAGGGTGGGGTCTTAGGCTGACAAAAAGCCAGTGTTTGTACCCGGGTCCCACCTGGTGCCCACGGGAATGCTCTAGGGCATACAGGTGGATGAGCTGGCCGCCAGGCATTTCCTGGGGCTTCCCAGGTGCACTATCTGGGTCCAGCTACACCAGAGAGATGGGAGGCTCTGTAGAGCCATGCCCAGGAGAAAGAAGCTGCCTGAATGGAGGAAGCAGACCTTCATTCTTTTATTTTACTTTATTTTTTTTGAGATGGAGTCTTGCTCTGTGGCCCAGACTGGAGTGCAGTGGCCGGATCTCGGCTCACTGCAAGCTCCGCCTCCCAGGTTCATGCCATGCTCCTGCCTCAGCCTCCCGAGTAGCTGGGACTACAGGTGCCCGCCACCTTGCCCCACTAGTTTTTTGTATTTTTTTAGTAGAGACAGGGTTTCACCGTGTTAGCCAGGCTGGTCTCGATCTCCTGACCTCGTGATCTGCCCGTATTGGCCTCCCAAAGTGCTGGGATTACAGACTTGAGCCACTGCACCTGGCCGACCCTCATTCTTGTGTCAGCTCTGCCCCGACTCAGACCCCAGCAGCCTGCCAGGCATGTAGCAGCTGCAGCCAGGAAGAACCCACATGCCCCTCCCTGAGGCCTGGGCTTCTCAGTGAATGGCCAGGTGGGCCTTTTGGGAAGCCTTGACCCCATTGCCCTGTCCAGTCCCGTAAGCCCACTCTTCTTGCCCCTCCCCATCCCTAGAGAGTACTGCAAGGACCTGAATGCTTCAGACAACAACACCGAGTTCCTGAAAAACTTTATTGAGCTCATGGAGAAAGTGACTCCAGACTCCAAGCAGTGTGAGTGTCTGGCAGAGCAGCTGGCTCTGGGCAGTGCCCAGGCAGCATGGGGCCAGCCCAGAGGAACCCAGAGGCCGGGGAGGTGTGGAAATAAGCAGGCACAAGCTAAGGGCTGGGCCTGGGCCAGGTCATGGAGGAGGCTCCTGGTGGAGCCTTGAGGGTGGGGGCGAGAGTGGACAGGGAGCTGCAAGAAGACACCCCCACCCCCAGCCCTCCCCTCCTGTTCCAGGCAACAACTTTCTTCTGCACAACCTGATCTTGGACACGGGCATCACGCAGCAGCTGGTAGAGCGTGTGTGGAGGGACCAGGATCTCAACACGTAGGCATCACCCAGCCTGTGGGGGCAGAAGGCTGGGATGGGCCCAGAGGCCCTGGCCCTGCCCAGCAGAAGGCAGGCCTGTGACCCTACCCTCCTGCCACCCCCAGGTACAGCCTACTGGCCGTGTTCGCTGCCACAGACGGTGGCATCACCCGAGTCTTCCCCAACAAGTAAGTGACCTATCCCACTACCCAAACCCTGCCCCTGCCAGGGAACCTGCATCTGTTCTACCCAGAGGCCTCCTTGCACCTGTGGAGACCACTGTCCCCGACAAGCGACCCCTTACCTACCAATCTGCCGCTTGGGTGCTCCAGGGCAGCTGAGGACTGGACAGAGAACCCTGAGCCCTTCAATGCCAGCTTCTACCGCCGCAGCCTGGATAACCACGGTTATGTCTTCAAGCCCCCACACCAGGATGGTGAGTGTCCCCCCCAGTGTGCCCAGTAGCAGGCAGGGAGCCTCAGCTTCCCTATCTGCTCAGAGAACTGGGCTCTGCTCTCTGAGGCCCCTCTGCAACACAAGGCTGCCTGAGGGCAGGGCAGACGTGAAGAGAGGGATAGACTGTGCCAAACACTGTCCTGAGTGCTGGGTGCTTGGGCTGGAGTCATCCCTGGATTGGACTCCTGGGTTTGTAGGACCCAGCATAGAGTGGTCAGTGTGGCTGCCAGACCCCACTCCTGACTTCCCCACCCAACCCCCAGCCCTGTTGAGGCCTCTGGAGCTGGAGAATGACACCGTGGGCATCCTCGTCAGCACAGCTGTGGAGCTCAGCCTAGGCAGGCGCACACTGAGGCCAGCAGGTGAATGCTTGGGACAGAGGCGGGGAAACAGGCAATGGACAGGGTACTGCCTGGGCAGGTAGCACTGATGGTCCCTTGCTCTCCCCCAAAGTGGTGGGCGTCAAGCTGGACCTAGAAGCTTGGGCTGAGAAGTTCAAGGTGCTAGCCAGCAACCGTACCCACCAAGACCAGCCTCAGCAGGTATTTGGGCAGGGGCGGGAGCAGTAACCCAGCAGTGCCCTTCCTGGAGTCCCCTGGAACTCCTGCCAACCCTCCGCTTTGGCTCCAACACCTACACGGAGGCAGGGGCAGCTGCAGATGGCCTGGGGAACAGGATGTATGACAGGTGATGGGAGGGAGGAAAACTGGTGGGTGGCTTACGGTCCTCACTCTCTGCCCAGCAGTGCGGCCCCAACAGCCACTGTGAGATGGACTGCGAGGTTAACAATGAGGTGTGTATGCCCTGAACCTACCCTGGACCCTAGCTTATCCCACTTTCAGACTTCCTAGTCCCAGCTGCAACTCCCAGCACATCCCTTGGCCTGTGGGTCTCAACATCCCCACCCTGACTTCACAGCCTTTCCAGGACTGGGAGAGTGATACCCCCAACTCTGAACCACTGGACTGCCTGGGGTGGAAGGTCTGGGGCCCAACCCCTCTCCATTTTCCTCCCCATTCCCTACCTCTTAGGACTTACTCTGTGTCCTCATTGATGATGGAGGATTCCTGGTGCTGTCCAACCAGAACCATCAGTGGGACCAGGTGAGGATCAGGAACAGAGTGGAAGAAGAGAGTAGGGATTTGAGCCTTCTAGGGGTGTAGCACTGCCAGCCTTGTGACCATGGCTTTCTCCTGGCATTCTCAGGTGGGCAGATTCTTCAGTGAGGTGGATGCCAACCTGATGCTGGCACTCTACAATAACTCCTTCTACACCCGCAAGGAGTCCTATGACTATCAGGCAGCCTGTGCCCCTCAGCCCCCTGGCAACCTGGGTGCTGCACCCCGGGGTGTCTTTGTGGTGAGTCCCCAGAGATGCCTGGACTGGAGATGGGGGGGACTGGGAGACCTGCCCACAGATGACCCCCTACCTCTGACATTTGATAGAGCTGGGGGTGACCTAGGGCGAGGGGCAGCAGTGGCAGTCCACGACCCTCTCTCCACTGCAGCCCACCGTTGCAGACTTCCTTAACCTGGCCTGGTGGACCTCTGCTGCCGCCTGGTGAGTCCTGAGCGGGAGGTGGGTAGAGAAGTGCTCCCTGGTCAGTAGGGCTCAGAAGAGAAGTAGGGCACGGCATCGTTCTCTGCTGACCACCTGCACTCGCCTCTCCGTGCCCTGCAGGTCCCTGTTCCAGCAGCTTCTCTACGGCCTCATCTACCACAGTTGGTTCCAAGCAGGTAGGTAGGGCTTTGGAGGCGCCTCCTCAAGTCCGGGTCCCCAGTCTGAGCAAAGACGACTCCAAGGGGAGGGTGGGGCCTACGACTGAGGGAGAACGGAGACCTTGCCCAGGTCTGTGGGCGGAGCTGAGGCGCTCTGGGCCCTCGCAGACCCCGCGGAGGCCGAGGGGAGCCCCGAGACGCGCGAGAGCAGCTGCGTCATGAAACAGACCCAGTACTACTTCGGCTCGGTAAACGCCTCCTACAATGCCATCATCGACTGCGGAAACTGCTCCAGGTGCGGCAGTGGGGCGGGACCAGAGGCCAGGGGCGGAGCCTGTGAATGGGGCGAGACGCTCGGGAGGATGGAAGGAGCGGGGCTGCAGTACGGGGGCGGGTCAGTGGCGGGGCAAGCTCAACGCCCGACTTTCCGGGCTGCCCGCAGGCTGTTTCACGCGCAGAGACTGACCAACACCAACCTTCTCTTCGTGGTGGCCGAGAAGCCGCTGTGCAGCCAGTGCGAGGCTGGCCGGCTGCTGCAGAAGGAGACGCACTGTATCCTGCCCCCGCCCTCCCCGCCGCCCGCTCCCCTTATGCCCCGCGCGCCCTCTCCCTGCCGCCGCCGCCTCCTTGACTCCCCACCCATGCCCAGCGGACGGCCCGGAGCAGTGTGAGCTAGTGCAGAGACCGCGATACCGGAGAGGCCCGCACATCTGCTTCGACTACAACGCGACGGTGAGGAGAGGGGGCGGTGGACCCGAAGTCCCTTGGCCTTGCGCGCGCCCAGGCCGACCAGCTCCTTGTCTCTCCCCGCAGGAAGATACCTCAGACTGTGGCCGCGGGGCCTCCTTCCCGCCGTCGCTGGGCGTCCTGGTCTCCCTGCAGCTGCTGCTCCTCCTGGGCCTGCCGCCCCGGCCGCAGCCTCAAGTCCTCGTCCAAGCCTCTCGCCGCCTCTGAGCGCCCCACCCCACCCCACCCCCCACCTGACCTCTTCGCCTTTCCCACCCTCCTGCCCTACACTCCCCACCTTAGGGGCCTCGTCCCTCCCTCACTGAAGGACCTGAGCTGGCCAGGCCCTGAGAGTCTGGTCTGCGCCTTGGGATGGGGAGTCCCAAAGCGGGATGCCGCAGGTCTTTGGCACCCAAATCACGTCTCACCTCTGAACTGTTCAAGTGTCCCCAGACCCTTCTTCCTTGCTGGGCTACCCCCCAGTGGGATGGGACAGGGAGGCCACACGCACTGGTGCCAAAACCAGGCCTCTGCTGCTGCCCTGCCTAGAGGCTCATGTGCCGGGGGACCCTGCCTCAGCTGGACTCCTGACCCGGCCTCTCTGCCCCACCCAAGCCCAAACTTGGTTTCTGTGAGAATAGTGGAGGAAGGTGAGATGGCCAGTTTGAAGCCTGTGCCTCCCAGCTTAAATCCTAGCAGGAGAGAGGCTCTGGGGCAGCCCCCATGGGCTCCTCCCCCTTTCAGGCCTACAGCCACATCCCCAAACCCACTGGGTGTCAGGATAGTCAGTGGTATCAGTTTAGACACTACCCCATATACACCTGGAACCTTGAGGATGGAAACTGGACTCAGACATACCCCACTGGGCACACGCACAAACACACACACTATGGGGTGGGGTGGGGCTTACAAAGCCTTACACAGGGCGAGGGGTTGGTGGGAGGGTTGGCACCTGCACACTCCATCTCCTGCTTACCACCTGCCTCTAATCTGAGCTGCAGCCTGGCTGGTCCTCCCATCTCTAAAGCTGAATGTCAAACAGTGCCAAATGCTGGGGCAGGGGGTGAAGAATCCTCTGTCCCACCCCTAACCACCAGTGTCCTCCAAGTGTCCCTCACCTCTCCAGGTGCGCATTGTAACCATTTCTCACTAGTGTCAGGCCCTCAGTGGGACCACACGCCACTGCCTGCACCTTTCGGCAGAGGAAACCCCACCAGACATCACTCTTTGCCTTAGCAGGGGTGACTTGGTCTCTCCTGGCTGGGCCATCCTTCCCCCAATCTGGCCCTTACACACTCAGGCCAGTGCCCACTCCCTATCTCCCTCCCACTTCAACAAAGACGCTCCCTGCTCATAGGAGGCCAAACTGCCCCTCCCCTGCTGAACACACACACACACACACTCTGTGCACACACAGAGGTGGGGCCTGGGCACAGCTCTTCACACCATTCATTCTGGTCATTTCCCCCAAAGGCATCCCAGCCTGGGGGCCAGTGGGGAACTGAGGGCAAGGGGATGTAGTGATGGGGCTCAGATGGACTGGGAGGAGGGGGGAGGGTGATGCATTAATTAATGGCTTCGTTAATTAATGTCATGTTGCTTGTCGCTTTCTCAGTGTGTGTGTATGGTCCATGCCCACTGTCGGTGCCAGGGTGGGTGTCCATGTGCACCCGGCCTGGATGCCAGCTGTGTCCTTCAGGGGCGTGCGTGTAACTGTAGTGTAGTCAGGTGCTCAATGGAGAATATAAAAATAAACATACACAGAAAAATATATATTTTAAGTTTAAAAAACAGAAAAACAGACAAAACAATCCCCATCAGGTAGCTGTCTAACCCCCAGCTGGGTCTAATCCTTCTCATTACCCACCCGACCTGGCTGCCCCTCACCTTGGGTTGGGGGACTAGGGGGCCATTTCCTTTTCTCTGCCCTTTTTATGTTCTATTTTGTACAGACAAGTCGGAAAAACAACAGCGACAAAAAAGAAACTTTGTAAAATAACCGTGTGTGTGATTCCTTGTAAAATATTTTCAAATGGTTTATTACAGAAAATCAGTTATTAAATAATGTTCATATTTTCACTTCAAATGGTTCCCATCCACTGTATCAGCCTGGGGGTGAGGACTGGGTAGCTATGAAGACGGTTGGCCAAGACCTCAGAGTCTCACTTAGTGCTCTGCTGGGGGTCAAGACCATGGTAGCCCAGGTCCCTGGCAACCACAGAGCATGATACTTGCTTCCACCAGTTAACAGGTGCCAGGCCCTTGACATACTTTGTCTCATATCATCTCAAAAAGCTGTCTTTTAAGGACAAGCCAAACAGGCTGGGTGCAGTGGCTCACGCCTGTAATCCTGGCACTTTGGGAGGCCGAGGCGGGCAGATCACTTGAGGTCAGGAATTCGAGACCAGCCTGGCCAACATGGTGAAACCCCATCTCTACTAAAAATACAAAAAAATTAGCCAGGCATGGTGTAATCCCAGCTACTTGGGAGGCTGAGGCAGGATAATTGCTTGACCCCAAGAGGCGGAGGTTGCAGTGAGCCAAGATTGTGCCACCGCACCCCAGCCTGGGCAACAGAGTGAGACTGTCTCAGAGAAAAAAAAAAAAAAGCAAAACAAACACCCTCCCAGAGCCTGAAAACCAGGACCCTGGAGGGAAGAAGACAGATCAGAAATGCTGGTTTAGTGGGGAGGTGAATCTGGCAGTCTGGTCAGACCACCAGGGCCTGACAGGTCCTCTGCCTGGAGCTATGAGTGAGCACCCAGCCAGTGTCCCTACCGGGCACTGGAGGACCCAGTCCTGTTATTCCAAGA